GCCAGTGAAAATAACTTTCAAGTCGATGAATATGATATGCTTTGAATACGTAGACACGACAGCCATATAAAGATGTCATCAGATATTCTCCCTTGTATGCTTCCAGCTTCTGTACATGACTGTCAGTTTATTCTAAATAACGGCGCGGAGAAATTGTTTGACTGTCGGCTCGATTGGAAAATGCAACGGAAAAGTGCCTCGGTTTATGCTTAAGAGGTGACCTACATTTCGTTACCAAATGTGGTTTAAACAGAACGTAACCAAATCGATACCCTTCATTTTGAAACACATTCGTACACGCTCCTCAGTTCCCAATAATTGGTAACGAAAGTGAAAGGTACACTTCAGAGTCATAAATTCACGTTTATTTTAAAATCTGTTTCACATTTGTCTCGTACTTTCTTTGGAGTTGTACTTAAGACGTAATCTACTAATTAGGAATGCAATGGAGACAAGAGACATTGATGAAATTAACTACATAACGTACTTTTAAACATAAGCCACCTGTGATACTCGTAATATTTTCCTAGAGTCAACGCTAATACAGTTCTTGGGGCTGCGTCAGGAGCAGCGGTACATACCAGCTGTGCTCAATACTGACTGGAGCTTTGTTGGAGCTCAGTACAGTAACACTCTGCCAGTAGGTTCATTAATTAGTCTACGTGTTTCTACGTCCTCTTTTTCTCCTTTGTAATGTTAGAATCATGTTTACATGTAAATGCAAAAGATCTATTTCTGTAGGAAGAATTGTATTTCGGAAGTTGTTACGGTAGGACAATGCGATATAACTCTTCTTCCATTGTTGGGATGTTCATTTGGTGTGAGTGGAAACACGAAGTGACTGTGAAGACAGGCTTGGTCCTGAAGTAATGAAGAACAAATTCCAAATGTTCAGTATATCTTAGCACCACCGTCAAATTTTCTCTTTATCGGAAGATTTCACAACATTTCTAAAATAGTCTCATCGAAACAGTAGTATATTTCTTCCTATTAATCTGATTAGAAAAGTTAATAATCGGAAGAAGTAGTGATGTCTGTAAGAACAATTGTGCTCTAAAGTAATTTCCAGTGTGTGTGTGGTATCCTGTTATAAAATAGAAGTGAGTTCTAAAATCAACAACAGTTAGATGAATGAGAGAGGTAAAATATGTTGAGTCTCATTTCACCGTGCCGAACAAATTAAGGAGCAATGACTTATACTGTGATATTTACTAATACTTTTCTCAGACTTCAGCATTACATTAAGCCATTTGATTTCCTTGACCTTCTGTTTCATTACGCTGTATTTTAATATCAACATCTGGCTTTACGTAGCTGTAAATATGTATTGCGTATAGTTCCTGTAATTTAAACATTTCCGTAATTATTATATATCACTACAAAACCATTTGAGTCCTGTCATATCAGTTTCAGCTTCCTGTGTACTGAAAGCTAAAACGAGTGTGTCTCATAGTGCCAAGAAATTTGAGGATCAGATTATATTACCACACTGTAAAGATATTACTAGAATAGGAGACCGATTTGAAGACAACATATCTTATATGGAGAATACAAAGGATAACGAAAACATAAACTGAGGCCTGTCTTATATCTCTATACAGGTAAATACGTACGTGTTTGATTCCTCTATGTTAAATTATTTGGAAAGAAAATACTCGGTGAGGACGCCTTTTCAAGTCAATAAAGACAATGAAGGAATTTAACACATCAACTTCCATTGTGCTTTCGACAGAAGTCCGCAAAGGTAATCATGGAATGTTCAGTGTTACATAGCAAGCGTCAATCACTGCAGTCACAGCTTAATGGACACACCTCATGCGTTTCATATATCAATGAATTTTATCCATTAGTCGCAGCTAGCCTACGCTTTATTAAATAAAACTTTTTATTCATAATGTGTTTCCTACTATCGGACACTGGTGGACATTTTCCTTTATATACAGTAAAAGACGTTTCAGGAGATTATTCTGATTTAGTCTTCAGGTAATTGGTTGTCAGGGCCATTCAAACGTTTGGTCTAGTTATTAGCATTCAAATTGATTCTGGTTCGATCTGAATCTCTACTACCAAAGTCAAATATATAAACACAAAAAAATGTGTGAGTAGAATGATAGGCTAACCAGTCGCATGAATATGACAACGGAACAAACTCCAGAAATATCGAACATTTCACATGCACTTCAGAGAGTGCACAGTACAATGTGGTTGCAGTGTAATGAGTTAAATCGTTGCAACAGGCATTTATAAAATGAAGTTATTTGATGCTACTGTTGTTTTAGGATGTGTAACTGCTGTTTATTCGAGTATAATGTTGAATGGCAGGGATTGAAGGATGATGGTTATGGAGGAAATTTTAATTACGCTCTTAGCGCCAAACATTGCCCTGAATTCCGTACGACAGATGGCCCAGGTACATTTAGAATACAAATCAGACGTGTTTCCGTTTTCAGCTAACGTGATTTCAATGACAAACGAAATGCGCCTGTGGTAATATTAATCTGTATAGAGCAGAATTCAGACACGTATCTTGCACTCCTAACAATACGTTCCTTGAGAGTCGTTTGTCAAACGAAAATTAATTTCTAATCAATGTATTGACAATAATTAGGGATACGGTTACATGAGATAATACATAGATCAATGCGTATAGTATAGAAAGTTTCTGTTTGAAAAACCTAGCTCAAGGAGATTATTTGGAATGCCCAGGAGTGGTATAAACATAATATTAGAACTGGTCTTAAAGAAATAAAATGGAAGGATGTGGACCAGGAGCCTTCATGTTAACGGCGTTAGCATGGCTAAAAATATGTGGCAAAAAATATGAAGTAATTTGGCTTACATTCGTGCTTTAGTGGTGTTCTATACACCACAATACAGCAGAACCAATCAGATAAAATGCATGGTCAGTTAGATCCAGTCAGCCAGTTTTTGTTAGCCAGGGATTTGAGGCTTACATTCACCGCTAGCGTCTGGCTGTAGTTAAGTAAAGATGTACTTTATCTAATTACTTTAATTGTATTCTAGTGTATGGGGTACAACTGAAACACGAAATTGAGAAAAAACTATTTTTCTTTGTTTTATAAAGTCTTAGCCGGTTTGACAAGGTTAATATGCACGCCTCGACCCTGAGTGGACTGAATTCTCCTGGCTCGGGACATGAAAGAGAGGAGGATTGTTGTGAAGACGATGATGAACCTTCGGATACCATAAAGGCAGGAAATTTCTTTACTCTTGAGTAATTTTTAGCTTCTCCAACAACACCCTACTTCCTGAATTTTGTACACAATTAGATAATGTGAAATAATACACACATAGGTCTGTGTATTCATTCGTGTAGACAAGGTCGTGGAATTCCTGATGAAAAACGAATTATTTTCAGGATAAAACACAAAATGGCTGGTGCTGTGAGTACGGCATACAGTACATAACTCAGTGAAGGTACCAATTAATATAAACACACCTGGTGTGTTCTCATTTTATCGATTTTTAATTTATTACGTATCCGAAAGAGTCATTTTTTAAAATAAATTAACGAGAGAGATATTTCATCGAAAGTCCATAAAACCATGAGATATCATTATCCAAATACCTTGTCGATTTTTTTCTCTTTGTGAGAAGAATAATTTCATTCGATCCATAATTCATGCCCTTTATTCACGCAACAGTTAAGGGCACGGATTCTTTCGTTCAACTTTCTTTTCTACATAGATTAATGGTGTAATATTATTACGGTATCTCGTTCAGTGTGCGTATGTACTGAAAGCGGACACGGTTGTGTCAAGCATTTGCTTTCTGCCTTTTGTGAATAGTCTTTAACAGGCTCCAGCACAAGGTTTAGCAGTATGGGTGTTCAGATCATGTGGAATATAATGTATTTTCGGATCAGTCACTGCACCATCCACACTACATTGTATGTATAAATACACCTTAAAATTTTATTAATTGTTAGAGCATAATAAATTATGATATGCCTGCAGAGAATTAAAATGGCCGGTTTTATTTAGAAAAATCATTCTTTAAATACATGTATGGTAAACTTAGGCGTATCACATTCTCATACTGTACTCATGGTTTGTATTCTATGACTTAATTTCTTATTACTCATTGCTGGTACAATCATTGTGTATAATATATTATTAAAGTAATAGTATTTTACTTGTGGTGAAAAAAGTAAAGACACACTTCTTTAAATTTTGACTATCGTTGCCTTATTGTATGACTTATTAATACGTGATGAATAGGTGTTTTGTGTCATCCGAATTTTTAAGTTGTATATCTTGGCCTATATTTTATCTTCTTAGTAATTTTATTATTTTTTCTGTTTTGGTGTTGGCGTTAAAACCTGTATTTTAAACTAAGCAAGTATTTTTTATTTGGAGCAAGAAGACAGTTAATGTAAATATTAAGCACAAGTCAATAAGATATTTAATATTTAAACTTGAAAATACTTTGGTGGACTTATTTTTCGCCAGATTTTGTGTTAACGACAGCACTGTTTTATGAGAAATTGCGCTTCAACAACATCATCAATTATTTAAGCGAGAATTGGTATTAAAATTAAATTATTTGATACATACCTCAGTAAAACGAACAAATCCTGATTGTTTTCAAGTTTTTAATCAGTTACTTTTGTGACAATTTGTGTTTTGGTATTGCTACATGTAAAATACGTGAAACAGGATTAAAAGTCAGTTTTACAAAGAATCTAAATAATTTAGAACGAAACGTAGTAAAATAGTAACAAGCAATACCCTAAAATTTTCTCGCTTAAAGGCCCTTATCTTGTTGTCCTCAATTGTGTTAAAATATATAAGGTTCCATGCAATGGAAAAGTATTGTTTTCTTTACACAGTACTTGCCACACCATAAATATATAACAGAAAGCAATCCC